GAATTGGGATTTTTCTCACCTGATATTCCTCTTGAATCTTCAAATCATCTGGTCAGGTCCTATCTGTCTATCAGGTTCAGACAGAAGTCTTAAATACTGCAATTCACTTCAGTCAGCAGCCACCTAACTATACAGACATTAGAAGTTTACACACTGTCTCAAACACATTAAGTAAGTAGTGGTTGAATGCAGATTCAGATTTTTCTCACCTGATATTTCTCTTGGCTCTTCAAATCATCTGGTCTGGTCCAGTCTGTCTTGTCAGGTTCAGACAAGTTCTCACTACTGCATCAGCCTTTATCTAACCATACATACATTATAAGTTGGACACTTGTCTCAAATTAAAAACTAGCAATGCACACACACACACCTTAAATATCTTTCCTTTAAAACAAACACATACCTCGACGAAAACTCTACATGATGACCATAAAAACGGGGATAGAAACAACAATAAAACAAATCAACCCCCTTCAACTGAAACTTTATGTGGAATACGAAAAACCTCGGGGCAAAATATTTTGAAAACAAGGAATTGCTACCTTGACAAGCATAGCCATCTGTAGTGTTGGCGCCAGAAATACTTGGGCTTGGTCATTACTATTTACTGAATTACTATAGAAAGGAACCAAACAAGCTTTTAAATTATAAATGATACATTGCATATGATAATGAATAACGAATTTCAAAGTATGGTCAACTCGACTTAACTAGTTTTCAACCGTTTTTGGTATCGTATTCATTTCGGCGCCCTGAAGCTTTGAGGCCACCATCTTGTTTACGCAAATTTTTGGCGGGAAAAATAACTACACGGCCACATTCCAACAGGTGTGTTGAACCACGTGGAGATAAAGAGAGAAATGGTTTGGTCAATGCAGAATTTCTTTCGACAAATATAACCTCAAAACGCTGAGCAACTGACTAAAAAGACATGCACATACATTTAACACTCTACAAGCGCACCACACATTGAAAACGCCAGTTGTTGAAAACGCGGCAACTTGATGGACTTTTTTAAGCCTGTGTAAAATTAGGAACGGTCGCTGCATCGCTGCCTAATACAGAAAAAAGTTCAATTCGTAGGAATATGTTGACATGTTTGTACTAGTTGCTTAGGAATAATGTCAGCCAAACAATGTACTGGTTTACCTGAAACAATGAGCGAAGTCGTCTCCATTAGTCCATACCACGCTACTCTTCCCAACTGTCTCGCCATTTTTGTCTTCTCCAAAATTCGCCAGGTCAGGAAATCCGCATTTTCTCCTCAAAACATCACCAAAACGGCACAAATCCACAGCACAAACTCCCAAACATTCTGCTGCACACTTACTAAGACATTCTACCGACGAAAACGTCTAAAAGTACCCAGAAAGTTGTGAAAAAATCAGCCCAGAGTATTCCCGTCGTAAGAAAGCGTCATTTGACCGGACCATACCAAACTTGTTTTTACACAGGTGTGCAGAACGGCCGTGCATAATTAATATGAAGTTGATAATCTAATTATGACGACCAATCAGGCCCGTTTCGGTGCCAGGCACTTATATGTGTCGAAGGACGATTAGATTGTCTAATTACGAAGAATACTAACGTACGTTGATGTCAATCTCGGTAAAAAAAATGGATGAAAATGCAGCTAGGGCACCTTTAAATTCGTATTTCTATCTTCACAAATAAACGTTTTCAAGAATAAGCTGTTATGTGGCCACAGTATGAAACATATCACTCTTGCCCAATATTCCTATTAACTGTAGATTTATTTACTTTTGCGGGGACTTTATTCCGTGGTAGAATAAGGCCACACCAATTTAATTTGTTGGTTCTCAGATTTTTCTCTGAAAAAATAAT